CAGCAGAGCAAATTTGGAGGTGGTATAGGAGATAGTTTCCAAACTGGAAAGTTTGTGGTAGCCAAACCACCTGTCTTTATATCACCTGTAGGTGATAATAACTTTATAACTACCTGTAGGTTACCTGTCTTTATATCACCATTGATTTTTTTTTCTTTTTAAGTTTCTAATGATAAGCACCTAAAAATAAATACATGACCCTTGCTCATTTACAGAGTGCTTTCCCATTCATTATGTAATATAATTAACATGGGATAATCAGAATTCCCCATCTGCATGCCTCCACCTAGATATTACAATGTAGTAGCTAGGAGAACAGGCTCTGGAATATACATCCCAGCTGTTACTTGTTATTTGTTATTGTTACATTAGTTAACAACTTATTTAAATATTCCTGCCTTCATTTTCCCTATCTTTAAAATGGGGGTTTTAGAAGTATCTACCTCATATAGTTGTGAGAATCAAGCGAGGTGATACATAAAAAGTGCTTTTTAAGTAATACCTGGTTTTCAATAAATGTTAGCTATTATACTAACAGTACATTATCTATACTTTTAAAGTAAAGCAGAATGACTCAAGTCATTTTAAGCCTAATTGTGTTTTGTTGATAACTATGTTTTAAGAAAAGGTTTCTTTGTTTCAGCCAAAGTAAAATAAACTAAGTTTCTATTTGTTAGGGGTACTTAACTTAGGGTCTGTAGAGCCCGTGACTTTAGTGGATATAAACCCCTTAAAATTATATGCAAAATGTGCTTCCCTGGTGGCGCAGTGGTTGAGAATCCACCTGCCCATGCAGGGGACACAGGTTCGAGCCCTGGTCCCAGAAGATCCCACATGCCATGGAGCAACTAAGCCCATGTGCCACAACTGCTGAGCCTGCGCTGTAGAGCCCACGAGCCACAACTACTGAGCCCACGCGCCTCAACTACTGAAGCCTGCACGCTCTAGGGCCTGCGTGCCGCAACTACTAAGCCCACATGCTGCAACTACTAAGCCCACATGCTGCAACTACTGAAGCCCGTGCACCTAGAACCTGTGCTCCACAACCACAACAAGAGAAGCCACCACATTGCAACACCCGAGCACTGCAACAAACAGTAGCCCCTGCTCACCACAACCAAAGAAAGCCCACGCGCAGCAACGAAGACCCAATGCAGCCAAAAAATTAAAAATAATTTTAAAAATTCTGTGCAGAAGTATGTGAGCTTGTAGAGTCACTGAGAATTTAAAAATTTAAGGAGCTGAAGAGATACTAATGAAGAAGCAGTAGAACTTGGTTCAAGTCCATGGATTTTGCAACAGCCAGGGAGTGACTGAATCCCTTCTCCAGCATTTATTTACTAGATGACTGGGAATTTTCTGTGTCCAGCGTTCTTATAAGACAAGAATAATACTAGCACCTGACTTTTAGGGTATATCTTGAGAGGGTTAAATGAGTTAATATTTACAATACCTCATATACGGTAAATATTGATATTAGAAATGAACAGTTATTTCTTTAAAACATCAAATGACATCCTTTTCTACTATAGGTTAAAGTGATTTTGGCCCAGCTTTGATTCCTGTAACAGTAGTAATAATAGCTCCTATTTGTTGATGAGCTTCCCCGTGTCAGATAGTACCACACCACTATGTACTTCGTTTCTAAATCTTAGAACAATTCTATAAAGTAGATATGCTTTCTCCATTTCACAGATGTGGGTTTGAATATAAACTTCAAAATCGAATTGCAGTTTTGAGATCGTAATTGTTAGTGATTTCAAACTTTTTTTATGTTAGATGTCAGAAATTACAGCAATATATTTGTGAATACCTAATTACTACATCCCACAAATAGAATTAATTGAAACCAAAATCTGAAAAGACTTAAAAACAGGTTTCATCTCACAGTATCTCAACTGCCTCCAGATGGACAGAGGTTCATTCCCTCCTCCCTTCTAGGTGCTGGTTTACTGTCATAGCAGTTATGTACAGGGCATATGCAGATCAACACAACTCGCATGGTCTTCAGTTAAAAGCAAAATTAAAGAGTTTTTTTTATAATTAAGGACTGAGATCTTATTAAAGTTTTCACTTACATCGGATATTAAAGGTTGAATAAAGAAGATTCATGGTTAACGTTTGAGTTATTTTTGGCTACACGGTGCTGTCTCAAATACTATATGGAATTATAGCGGTTGGCACTATAGGTAACATGCAAGACTAGTTCACCAACTCTTACCAACCTTTAGTGGTATAGCAACATTCTTTTGAATTGTTGGGTTCTTCTTCATTGTTTATGTTTCTGGTATTACTTTATGTACTTGACCTGCTGCTCCATCCTTTATGGCTTCAACTGTTGCGATACTACTAGGCTCCCTTTTGAACTTCAGATTCATATTTGCATGTAGTCTGCTGCTTTTGCCTAGGAGCCCAGATGAGCCACAGCAATTAGACTTAAGACCCAAACTAGGGAATTCCCTGGTGGCACAGTGGTTAAGAATCCACCTGCCAATGCGTGGGACACGGGTTCGAGCCCTGGTCAGGGAAGATCCCACAGGCTGCAGAGCAACTAAGCCTGTGCTCCACAGCTACTGAGCCCACGTGCCACAACTGTTGAAGCCCACGCACCTGGAGCCCCTGCTCCACAACAGGAGAAGCCACCGCAATGAGAAGCCCGTGCACCACAATGAAGAGTAGCCCCTGCTCGCCGCAACTAAAGAAAGCCTGCATGCAGCAACGAAGACCCAACTCAGCCAAAATAAGTTAATTAATTAAAATTTTTTTTAAAAGACCCAAACTGAACCCATCATTCCTCACACCCCCAAAGTCCCTGTTGCACCCAAGTCTGCTAGCTCCACAGTATTCCTAATTTTGATTATCATAGCATCACCATCCATTCAGGCAAGGTAAAATCTCACAATCAACATAAATTTCTTTCTTTTTTTTTTAATTGAAGTATAGTTGATTTACAATGTTTTGTTAGTTTCTGGTGTACAGCAAAGTGATTTAGTTATACATATGTATATTCTTTTTCATATTCTTTTCCATTATGGTTTATTACAGGATATTGACTATAATTCCCTGTGCTATACAGTAGGAGCTTGTTGTTTATCCATTCTATATATAATAGTTTGCATCTGCTAGCTACCAAATTCCCACTAGATTTTTTCTTCTTTCACACTCCAGTATCTAATCAGTTATCAAGTCCTATGGGTTATCTTACTTGCCAAGTCTCTGATGAATGTGTCTATTCTCACAGCTATTGCCTGAGGTCAGGTGGTCATCTTCTCTAGGTTAGTCTACCTCAGGAGCAGCCTAGTCTCCCTATTTCTAATCAGTACGATATATTCCTAATGGGCCACATCCTTTGAACCATGAATGGACCGTGACCTTTCCATGCCTTTGCAGTTGTTATTTCTACTTGAAATAGCTATTCCTAACCTTTTTTTTTTTTTTTCTGGTCATGTCCTTCAAAGCCCAAATCAATATTCTTCACTATACAGCCTTCTGTTGTAAGCTGAGGTAGTTGTGTTGTCTTTTCTGATTTCACACAATTTGCATATATATACCTTTATTAGCACTTGTCATATTGATGTAACTATTCATTTCTGTAGTTGCCTAACCTTGTAACGTGTGTTTAGACTATATCTTTTTAATCTTTGTATGCTCATCACCTAGTGCGGTACTTGATACTTAATTGTTGTTTGAGTGAATTAGCAATATATGATGAAGGGTGTATGTCAATATCTGCATTAGTTGATTAAAAATTTCTTTCCATGTCAATGTGAGAAACAATGCTTGCAACTCATATCACAAACAAGGGGCTAAACACCCTAATAAATAAAGAGCTTCTAGAATTTGATTTTAAGAGACTAAAAACCCAGTGGCAATTTTCAGACTGGTTTTTTGTTATCGTTGTTGTTGTTCAAAAGTTTTAATTATAGATGAGAGGTGTTTGGAATACAGGACACATTTCCCACTACAAACAGTGCAGTGAAGGAGGAGAAAGTAGATCATAAATGATAGAGTCAGTGGTCAGCTCACAGAAGCTGACCATGAAGTTGTTGAACTAGATTCAGGATCATGAATATAGAATCGACTAAAGTTTTTCAGAGTTTAAGCATCTGGAACAGGAGTTGGCAAACTTTCCTTTTAAAGGGCTAGATAATAAACGTTTTAGGCTTTGTGAGCCATGCTGTCTATTGCTGTGACTCAGCCTCGACTTTGTAGTACAGAGAAGCAGCCATAGACAGCATAGACACATCTGGACATAGCTGTGTTCCAACAAAGCTTCTTTACAGAAACAGGCCCTAGGTTCGGCCCGTGGGCCACAGTTTGCCAGCCCCTGACTGGGGTGGGGAGGAGAGGGAGGTGAGGAATAAACGTATTCTATTTGTCACTGCCAAGAATACATCTCCCTTTGTTCTGTCAATGAGAGTTAGGGTTAGTCACGAGAATAGATAGTCCCTGACTCTTTGGTTACAGTCACAGAATAGATACCTTGTAGGGAATTCATCTTAAGTCTCAGCATTGAAGCAAAAATCTCTGAAATGTGAGTCCTTTTAGTAGAAAGATGCTGCTGAAACTTGCAGCTGAAGGAGTAAACCATTTGCCTGAGTACCTAGTGCCCTGTGTTCCACATCTTTACTATTTGCCATGTTTACTCTTGCCATGTCCTATGGCAATAGGACATAGTGGAAGAGAACACTAAGGTGCAATTAGATCTGGACTTATGCCACCTTTCAGCTTGACCTTGGAGAAGAAACTTCATGGGCCTCAGTTTCTCTAACTGAACTTCAGTGTTGCTATGTATTATATCAAGAGACTGAACTAGAGATGACATTGAAGATCCTTCTGACTCTAGAGATGGCATTTAGTGAATTCTGGTAGCAGCAGACTTGTACTACATATACTTATGAAGGCAGGAACTTCATATATAGTTTTTCTGAAAATTTTTTGCTTTGAGAAATGTCAACATGGGTAAATAATTGTTGTACATGTTTATCCTTTAGGGGCTAAGATGGATCTTGTACTCAATGCTGCAGATTATTATTTTTTTACACCATACGTATATCCAGCCACATGGCCAGAGGACAGCATCTTCCGACAAGCTGCCAGTCTCCTGATTATAACAAATCTCGGTGCTTATATCCTTTATTTCTTATTCGCAACGCTGAGTTATTATTTTGTCTATGATCATTCATTAATGAAACACCCACAATTTTTAAAGGTAAGTGATTTTCTTACCTATTTTTTAATTATTACAGTAAAAATAACAATATGTATTTGTGAGATTTTCAGATTAAACTGGTTTTAATCTTTTTAGAGTTTCTGAAAACAGTCCCAAATGGGTTAGATATTTTTGGAAAGGCTAATCCCCTCTCTCTTTTAATTTAACAGATAAGTAAGTTGTGATTTTTTTTTTTAAGTTTTTGTTGAGGTGGGTTTTTTTTTAATCTATTTATTTTTGGCTGTGTTGGGTCTTCGTTGCTGTGCACAGGCTTTCTCTAGTTGCAGTGAGCGGGGGCTACTGTTAGTTGCGGTGCACTGGCTTCTCATTGTGGTGGCTTCTCTTGTTGCGGAGCACGGGCTCTAGGTGCGCAGGCTTCAGTAGTTGTGGCACATGGGCTCAGTAGTTGTGGCTTGCGGGCTTTAGAGCTCAGGCTCAGTAGTTGTGGCTCACGGGCTTAGTTGCTCCGCGGCGTGTGGGATCTTCCCGGACCAGGGCTCGAACCCGTGTCCCCTTTATTGGCAGGCGGATTCTTAACCACTGCGCCACCAGGGAAGCCCCTTCT